GAACAATACGTGGGGAATCACATCTTGGCATGTTTTGGTGGTGAACGTACCAAACGTCTACCTCCATCTCGGGACCCGTTGCTTGGTGGATAGTGTCGGCAAATTCTTCAAAGAGAGAAGTCAGTTCCATCATCCACACGGGCCTAGGCCTTTGAGCAGGTGCATGGGGGGGCAGGGGTGCTGGCAACGATACCTGAAAGTTTGGCGCAGGCACGGTTTGCTGTTCAGAGCACTTGTCCTGCGGCTGGTCTGGAGGTGTCTGTTCACTCTGCATCGCCAGTTGATCCCCTGTTGCAATCACGGCATGATCTTCCTGGTCTGACCGAGCAGGAGGTGTCACTGGCAAGTCTGGTCTGTCTGTACTGCAGCGTACAGTCGGCGTGAAAAACTGCAAAATGGTCGTCTGTAACGAAGCATCTTGACATCTCGATTTTTTGTTTTGTGCTGCACTGAAAAAAGATTCAAGAGTGGTTTGTTGGGGATCTTTCTGTCTCATACATGGCTTTTTGTTGCGTTGGTTGAGAGCAACAGTTGTGGCGGCCTTTGGACACTCTTGAGTTTTTGCAGCCAACTTCTTGAGTGACTTACCAGTGATACCTGCAGTTCCATCCTTCTCAACCTTGGGTTGATTTCCCTCGTGCACAGGTCGGGGGTTCAGAACAGCCAAAGGCCGCAGTACCGCACCCTCACCGGCATGCTGAGAACTGCAGTTATGAAACTGTGGCAGCTCATCCTTAGTAACCAAATGGGAGGGGGTGGAGTCCATCAACGCTTGGAGAAATCTGGGTGCAACGGGCTCTGGTTGGACTGATGTCTGTTGGAGCAGGGATAAGTCATCATTTTCTGGGTCCGGATCCAGAAGAAAGTCCATGAATGTATCTTGCTCCATGTCATTTTGGATAGTTTCAGCAACGATCTGCGTGTCCATGTCAACTTCATTCTGTGGTGGGACTACAATGATGACATACGAACCATGCCTGACTGGTCGGCTGCCGTGTTCATCGGAAGGCCATCCCTGTCCGTCCAGTGTCACTGTACACTCATTCGCAAGGTAATGACAATAGTGGAACACCCCAGCAACCATGAGTAGGTGCGATCGAATTACCTGATATCCAATTTTGTGCACGTTGCGCACAGTAGTGGGCTCTGGTGCACTTCCGTTTGGCGCAGGTGGAAAGATGTATCTGACATCGATCAAAATCAGTCTGTCAGTGGAGCGCGTGGGAACATCGCCAGTCCTCTGTACAATGGCCGGAATCGCCATTTCCGGAAAGTCCATGAGGCGTGCTGGTATGGGATAGACCGCTTCCAGGCAATTGAGCGGCACATTGAGTGCTACTGCCATTTCATGCGACGGCTGCACAAGTTGTGCATTTACTAGCTGCATGACTACTTCATGGCCTTCAAGCTGGAACAAGTGCAAAGCAGTCATGAATCTTGTGGCAGCCTGAGCTGAACTCGCTGAGGTTGGAGCACTGGGCATTATGGAACCATCTGTGTCTGCGGCTGACGAGTCACCTGCTGTTCGGTTCACTGATGAGCTGCTGGCAGCTGTCGCAGAGGGAGGAACCAACTTGCCGTCTTCAATCCTAGATGCTAATTGGGATGGAGAGTTACGGATCAACACTTGAAAGCCATCGCCATGGTTGGTGTCATGCTGAGGGCGCAGCGTGTTTGGGATTTCCTGCCATCCAAATGTGATTTTGCAATCATGATGACGGCAGAGGTGCGCAACATCTGCACCATTTATGACATCGAATCCACTGATGTGTTCTTCGAAAGAGCACGCCACAGAAAACAACTCAAAACTGCCTCTGTCCTCAGGGATAATCGTCACAAGGCCTGCAAACCCTAGGCAAAGTAAGGGATTGGGTGATGACAAGATCAAGTACGAAATGTCTTTGTGATGCTGGCCTAGGTGGATCAGGATCTATGATGGTCAGGTCAAACCATTCGTCTGGGTCGATTTGATCTATCCACAAGGAAGAGAACTGCATTTCCCATCCTGGTGGCGGGCCAACAAGCTGAAGGACTCTTGGAGCTGTCCACCTTCTAACTGTTTGGTGATCAAGATACCAAGTTCGTACTGTGATGTCAAAGTCATTATCCTCAGGGTCGAAACCTAACCGAGCAAGTCTATGGGCTAGGTCGTGCACGAATGCTGGCGGGACATGATGGTTATGAAGTTCCATGTCATCAGCATCATGATCTTGTTCATCATCGGGTTCCGGAGCATCAGGAACCCATGCGACCGGACTTTCAAAATCTCTTCGGACTTGGAAGATTGGGCGCAAATGCTTCTCGGGAGCGTTCAGTGGTCGGACATGCAAACTACCAGAGACTTGCTGTGTGTGACCTGAACTGCAAAATTGGGCACCGCTGTCACATGAGTGGGCATTCTGATCGAAGGCTTGCACAACGCCTGGCAATCCTGATCTATGGCTACCAGACCTAGTGACATGTGGTACATGGGATATCTTGGTCGACTTTGACCATCTGGGAGCAATACCTGCGAAAAAGGAGGTACCCATGCATCGTTTGGATGGCTGACTTGGTCGAAAGTACTCCCTCTCATCTACAAAGCCATTTACAGGATCAATTGCTTCGAACTGAAAACTGCCTGCCTTTGCGCTTGAAAGAAGTGAAACGTTCGACGGTACTGATTCAGAATGCATCATTGCAAGAGTCCAGGGCTTCATGCCTGTCACTAATGATTCATGCGGTATCTGAATCTGATGGAAATAAATCTCGTCCTCAATGCCAATAAGGACTTCAACGTCCTCAGCAAACGAAACCTTTCTGTGCTGGAATACGGATGCTGAAGTTCGTCCATAGGCTGGAAAATTTTGGCACTCATCGGGAACGGTCCGTGTGCAAAATTCAAATGAAACCTCAGCTGCCAGGTGGAATGCGGTGTCTTGTGCAGTCCAACTATCTACAAAATCGAGCTCATGCACAACCGAATGAATCCAGGAAAGAGATGGGCGTGCCTTCCCAAACTTGGCAAAACTGTCCTGGACTTTCTGTGCGGCCCAGACTTGCCTTGAAGTCAGGCTTTGAAATCCATATTGTGCTGAACTTTTGGGGTTGGAAAGCTTTGAGGGTTTCATGCGAAAAGACTCATTAATCCCCTTGCCATCATGGGGCCATGGAGCAATATCGTATATGGCAATATTCACTCGGCCGGGACCAAAGGGGTTTCTTCGGTCTTTTTGTCTGCATGGAGATGGTCTGGTGGAGTCATCCTGGGTCGCTTGTTGCTCTTGTCCTGCTGTTCCGCTTCCTGCTGCACCGCCTGTTCTGCTTGGGAGTGCAATTCCTTCAGATTTGTGCTGAGGTCCTGGAAGCTTTCTGCAATGCGTTTTCCTGCCGATGCTTCGAATGCTTTTGGTTCCACATCCTCTGCATCGCTGGTCATGGCGGAGTCTTCCTTCGTGTCCAACCCCACAGTGGTTTGACATGCAGAAAGGTTGGACTTGGCAGTCGCTAAGTTTTCCATAGCAGTCTGCAAGCGATCTGTCAGGGTTTTCTCCTGCTCCATGAATTGAGAGGAGTATTTCTGCCACTGCTGCACCGAGGCAGCCAGGAAGTTGCGCCATGCCATATGCATGTTGAAGCGAGCCTGCTGTGCTTCTTCCACTTCCTTCTTTGCTCGGCCGTGTTGGGTGACTGCGGTGTGAAGCAATCTGGTCTCTTCCTGGCCGGTTCGGACAGATACCTCTTTCATGAGGAGCTGGACGTCGTCTGGTAGATCTTCTTTGTGCCTGCGTAGTGCTGCCAAGAGAGATCTGTATTGCTTGTCCTTGTCCTTGTCGTCCTTGGGGTCTGCTGTACCCCCATTGGCTGACATAGCCGAGGTCGGACCAGGATTGGGAACTGAGTTCAACCAAGGTGGATCCAAAGCAGCAAGCGATTGCGCTGAAGGCGGCCCAAACTGAGGGAGCTCTTCGGCTGGTCCTTTGGACTTGCCTTTGCCTTTGCCCTTTGCAGGCGTCGGGTTTCGCTTCTTGGATCTCGGTCTTGGTGATTGTCGACGTCGTGGGGAGACATGCTGTTTGGTCTCCTCCCATTGTTGATCCTCTGTCCAGGGATGGGAGTACGTCCATTGCACCTGACGAGGATTTTGCTGTCTTTTTGGTTGCACAAAATTGGGATCGGCGCAAATCTGCCATCCCTGTCCACATTGGCCACAGTACTCGTGTCGGCCACTGCATATTCTTTTGCACGTAGTGCATTTCCATGGTTCCGGCGTCAGAGAATCCATGTCTGCTTTGATCCTTCTCAAAAAGGCAGTATCCTTCGAATGATGCCTCTGCAAAATTTGCTGGATTCTTTTCAATCTCCAGTGGGGCAAAGGATGGATCTGTCGTCGATGCAGGTACCAAGCTAATCGGGCCTGGGACCGTTGTCTTCGTGCAGCTCGTCTCTGAGTGGGTGTAGCCGTTGCTGTCCAAGCAATTATAAACTGCCACTGGGCGAATTGCGACGAAGTCAAATGCCAGAGTGATGGAAATGTAGAAAAAAGCAATCACAGCCAAAATTGAGCACATTCACGTATGAGCCAGTGAAAAGGAAATTTGAAGGGAGCTCACCCCTTTGGTCAGTGAAAAGTCCGTGGGGAGAGTGAAATGAGGTAGACCGAGTCAATACCAAAATCACAAGTCACACCAGAGACAATCCAGGAACCAATCGAAAAATTGTAAAGCAAATGGTGCCACTGAAATATGGGTCAATCGAATGACAGCCAGATAAACCAGGGCACGAAGGCTGGTAAACCGCTCAGCCCGCGGTGGTGAAAGATGGCACACCGCTTAGGTGAAGGTCGTGGGGCCACCTGAGTGTTCCTGAGCCAAACACCTTGAGCCAAAATGGCTACGGAGGGGAAGGATGACATCCCATATATGAAATGGAAAATAAACGTCATGTTTGAAACCACCAACCAGATACCATTAAATATCCAAATAGGGGCCCCAAAAGAATAAATTCAAAAACCGAGGTACCACTTGTCCCGCAAGACTTGTGTGCGTGCCAGTTTGGCAGCTTCATCTTCCTGGGTCGCCGCGTGCCGTGGCTGTGGCGATCTAATAAAAACGGGGATAATTTAATCATAACTGCATTTATGTAACTGTCATAGATTGTTGGTTCTACAATGCTGTAGTTTATATCCCATCATATCAGTTATATCATGATTGCCGTTTCATCAACCATTTCCATGGATCATCAAGCCCAAAATCTAGGTCATCTAGTGGTTGGTTGATAGGTAGCTATATGTTGGATCGCTGTAATCATCCCAAATAAAACATCCGGAACACAGAAAACACAGAATGACGCATCACACAGGATGTTGGTCACTGCATTTGGATTGTCTGGATCCATGGTGGTTAAATCACCTTGAAAGCGAGGAAAGAACAACCCGCCCTGGTCGATATGTCTACTCTTAGCTTTATGAACATATGGGACATGCAAAGTTTTAAATTCACCGCTTGAAACTAGATTCTCTGAGACGGATGGTCCTGATGACAAGTATAATGGATGGAATACAATACACACATATATATATATATACATATTGTCAGATTGACACTGGTAGCTTGTTCACTTCCAATCCTAATTCCAGTTGGAACCCTGTCCAGCAATGCAAACTCCTGTTTTGCCCAATGCGAAGCCACGACCTGCAATCAGTCCAACGCACCCACAGCTGGCCACAGCTGTATCCGCTAAGCGTCACTGATAGCGCTATTGCTCAAGCTAATCCCTCCCTCCAGCCCAGAGGCTGCGGCAACAACTGGTTTCTGGAAGAACCCCCTGGTTCCATGAGGGAATGACCTCAAGCACATGTGAACTGGCCTGGCTTTCACATTCGTACTATCAAAATTTTGTTCATCATGTGCACATTCCAGATACGCTTCGGTGATCAGGATGGTGAAGACAATCACGGACATGATGTTGGAAAAATACCCAGTTGATTACGCATTGAAGACAATGTCAACCTCATCACTGGTAGTTGTCTCCTGCGAGGCAGAGACCATGCTTGCATCATCGAAAGATCTAATTGGGTTTTCAGAACTTCAATCGGATAGCGCATGGACGGCTTGGCTTTTCCACAAACTACCGATGCTCTGAACTTTCGGGATTGAGAGCTTGAAGCCATTTGATTCTGGTTCTTGCATCTGATCTAGCCTTGAGTATTTCATGCTCGTCATGCAAACTGTAGTGACCTTGCTGTAAGCATGTCCTAAGCATGGTATTGTCCATGACTTTTGTCAACGCATCAGCTACTTGAGCGGCTGATGGAACCCATCGGATCTGAATGCCATTTTGGATATGTTCTCGAATCAGCTTGGCTTGAAGTTGAGTACGAAATTCAGTGCAAGTTGGGGGTGCATTACGGTTGATTAAGTCAAAGAGTGATTTACAATCAGTGGTAATGAAATCAGAACGTTCCTTGGGAATATCATTGAGGATTCTTTTGGCAACTTCAGGCATCGGCTGTTTCTCAGGCAGTTCTGGTGTCAACGCTGAAAATGCTGGTGGAAGTCGGAGGAGAGTGCTATCAGCTTGTCTCCAATCACAGCGATGATCACATATCCATGCCCAGAAAAGGCGCGCCCAAGAAAGCATATCCACTGCTCCTGCCAGAGCCATTGCTTCGGCTGACAACGTGCTGACTGCTACCTTCTGGATTTTCTTAGAATGCCATACCATTGGATTGATTGGACTGCGTCTATTTTCACCAATGCACTTGTGAGCAGACATGATCATCATTCCCTGATGTGAGTCAGGGCATTTCTCTGACGCAAAGGAGGCATCGGAAAAAGCAACAAACCGCAAATCAGGAACTGGTATGGATTGTATTCGAAGGGTCACATTGGAATGTTGTTTTGCTTCATGGAGGGTTCGATTTGCTTCAACCAATGTGGACACTTTTGCTTTGTTGATTTGGCTTTGAAGCCAACCCAGTCGGCTGCATATGTCAGGTCTCGTGTTTACAGCTGCATACTGTAGGCTCCCTATCAGAGCTCGCAACGCTTGTCGTTCCTCTTCTGTGACGACACTGTCTGGTTGACACCTTCGATCATGAGAGATGGAAATTGCATGAATATCCCGAACATACTGTGACTGGTTCACTGTGATAGTGTAATCAGCTTCTTGCGTGACATGTAAACCAGTGAACACAAATTTGCGCATCTTACGGGATCCAAAAGGAAACTTGGCTTCCAGTTGTTTGAGCTTGTTCTGAAAAGTTTCATTCCCACAACACAACCCATCATCAACATGAACACCAATCAGACTTTGTGTCTCCTGGGTTTTGGGGTCACTCAGATGGAACAGGCACGGATCAAACGGTGATGCTTGGAATCCCAGCTCCTCTAGGGTCTTCTTCAGTTCAACAAACCAGAGATATGGTGCGTCAACACGCCCATAGGCACCTTTGAGAAGTTGCACCACTTCATCTTGACGGAGCTTGAGTTTCTGTCGCATCTCTTCTGGTGGTTCCATGCCTAAAACGCGATTGCTCTGCTCGCTGCCTCGTAAAAATGCAGTCTGTACATCGAAGCTTTGGATATCCCATTTTCGGCTGGCACAGTACTGAAGGAGAAGCATCCGGGTCAGTTTATTCATTGTCGGACTATCACGGGGAATTTCTGATACTTCAGGATCTTCAAAACCAAGCACAACTAGTCTAGCCTTCGGTTTCATTTTCTGGGATTGTTGGGGTTGATCAGCTGTGGGATCAACTTCTTTCCAAGTTAAAATCCATCGGCTTCGGAGAATGTTGGCTTTTGGGATCTGATTACGCATGATTTTTGTGATAGTCTCGGTACTGATCCAGCTTTCCACTTCTTTCATCTTGGCCTGCCGGAAACGCTCGCGATCTTCAGCTGTGAGATCTGACAATTTCACCTCACTGCGCTGTCGTTTTGCTGCTGAAACAAGGAAAGCCATTTCCTGTGGTTTTGTTTCCTCACGCCAGCAGGTGATGTCTTGAGCACAAATGGGAATCTCTAATTTCCAGCATTGATCATTACCAACTTGGAAAACATGATCGGCTTCCACAAAGAGTTCATCATCCGTATCTGGAATTGGCACTTCCACTGGATTGGGTGGCTGTTCAACATTTTCGGAGGGATCCTGGTTGTTGGGAACTGGTTCACCATCAGGTTGTTCAGAGTTACTGTCACTTATTGGGATTACTGAAACGTTAGGGTTCTCTTCATTGGGGATTATTGGAATCTGATTCACATCTTGATTATTGGCAGTGTTAGTTGAACTTGGTGCTTCAGTGGGAATTAAATTGTGATATTGTACTCCGCCATGTGGTGGGATAATGCTTTGATTTGGTGACGTGGAACGTGGAGAATCACCTGATTGATTTTCATTGATTGTGGATCGGTGTTGCCACTCCTCAACTGCTGACAGCGGTCGGAGGTGTTCCGGAGCTACGCGATACAGCTTGCTGCCCATGGTGATCCACACAACATGTGAACTTTCTTGCAACACAACTCGAAGGGGACCTATCCAAGAGCCATCAGCTTCACCACGTTTTCGCCACATCATGACATGGTCTCCCTGGACATACTTGCCCCGATTGGGTCTACTCCTTTGGACCAGGGCTCTTCTTAGGACCTGACAATTGTCAGTGGCAGTGAAGGCGCGACGCGCGCGTTCTCGCAGGGCCAGTTCCTCTCTAAATCGGAGACCTTCAGGACGATCATCAATGGCTAAACTGTGGGAAGGCAACTGCATATCTGAAACTACTGAACCGGCTACCCTACTTGACTTTCCAAACACAAGGACTTCTGGTGGATAACCCCTGTGACGGCTCCATTGATTTTTGGTTGCAGTGGCCAAAGCGGTTGCTTGGCTTACTTTTTCAAAGGAATCAAGTGGTTCTTCGGTGTCCATTTTGTTCAAAATGCTTTGCAGTACAGCTCCATGTCTTTCAATCCTGGAATTTTGCCAGTGTGCTTCTGTGGCAATGGTTCGATGTTTGATTGAGTACCGTTGCAAAAATGTCATGAAGTCATTGGAGTTCAGTTCTGTCCCTGCATCCATGCATAGTAGACCTGGAGGTCCGGCCCATTGGATCCACCCCTGGTGAAGCGCATGTATGGCCTGTTCAGCATCATGTGCACGAGTAACGACGGCAGTGTGATACAAGGTACTTTGATCCAACATGTGATAGATGTTATACTGTTGCCCCATCTTATTAGTCCATGTGATACCATCAATTGCAACAACATCTCCAAAATCCCCATGGTCATGTATGGAACTTGGACGAGCTATCTTGGGATCTTGATTCTCAGCACATGTTGAACATTTCAGGTCCCCGATGGCTTGGAGAATTTCACTGGGGCATCCCAGTTGTCGACAGAACTCTGTCAATTTCATAGCTCCCGGATGGCCCAGGTTTCGGTGAACTTTGAGAAGCCATGCCTGAGTTTCTGGCTTCAACATCATGAAACGTGGTCCATGTTTCTGAGAGGCTAGGTCATGACGATCTATTGATTCGGTCTTTTCTGGTTCGGAAACTCTTTGGGCCACATCCATTGGCTCATGAGTGCGCGGTCGCTTTGGTTCTGGTTCTGATCCTTCGAACTCAGCAGAGCGAACAGCACGGACGTCGGCAGAAGATTGAGACTGCACTGGAACATGTTCGGAAACAGGTATCTCTTGGCCTACAACTGTCTTGGCTTTGGCAAATATGGTCAGACTGACTCTGGCTGGCGTTCCCTTTCGACGCAAGCCTTTAAATGTCAGTTTCTCCCAGGGCTCCCATTCATCATCAACAACCACATCTTCATGCTTGCGACGGATGCAGATGCGTTTTCTTAGAGGAGCACTACCTGGTGGAACATTTCTGGTAGGGCCAGGATATCGGTCTGTGCCACGACAAAGGACCACATGTTTAATCTCATGTTCAGGACATAAAATGGAAATCTCATGAATGATTTCTCCAGTGTCAATCACCAGTGGTCCAACACGTGGGGCCATTACATTGGCACGTCTCATCACTGTCTGCCAGCTGGCGTCAGCAAATCGCTGTGCAATGGCTTGTGGACTCAATTTTGACATGAGGCGTCTCTTCTTGGTTGGGTGTTCATTGTTATTTTCCTGAGAAGGTGGGTCATCCATTGCAAACACAGGCTTTTCCTTTGGAACTTCATAAAGCAAGATCTTGACTACCTGTCGAGCAAATTTGGCTGGATACTTCTCAGTAAAAGTGGACAATGACATACGCTTTCCCTCATGTTTAATATCGGGATTGCACAGCTTTCCATGGATGGCTCGGGCCAACGGATCTGACGTTGTTGCTACGTTCAAACGCTTTCGGATGGGCATGGCTGATTCTGGATCGGTCAAGTTGCCCATGCGGCAGAGGTCAAAGCGGCAAAGCATTGTGTGTTCACCAATTTCACTTAGTGGTTGGAGCTGCAACATCTTGGAACCATCCGGCTGTTCTAAGTGAAAATGCAGTGATCTCTGCACCTGAAATCGATACAGAACAATGGCTAAGCTGATCTGCCAGAGGCTTGCAAGACGTTTCTGAAGAATGTCATGCAACCCATGGAGTGATTCATTCCGCCACATAAGACCTATAGGCGGTTTCCACACAGAACCGTGTCCACATACCCAGGGTCCACATTCAGGGCTGTACCACAGATTCTTGGGATTCTGGGTGGTCAACACTTGAAACATTCTTCGGCGTCCTGCAGCTGTTTGGAGGTCACCTTCTGCCAATCCGAATCTTTTGGAGCGACCACCAATGGATGACATTTGCTTTGTGAGTTCACTGTCACTGGAACACATGACTTCAAACAAATCAAGTTGAGGAAGTCGAAACTTGTTCTTCTGATTTTGTTGAATCACTTGGTCAAGTTCAGATTGAAATTGTTTTACCATACGTTGGATTCGTCGGTGATAACTGTTGTTGGAAACATCATGTGTGAAGTCAAAGTCTGTGTCCAGGGTCATGTTCAAATGCACCTCTTCTGCAAACATACCATGCCGGATCAGATCAGCCTCAGTTGCACTCAGAACTCTCAGTTCTCGGATTTCACCTGCATCTTCTTCATGTGCTCCAGCATCTCGTGCATCATCATCTCGACTTGTCCCATTCGACTGGACAGATGCTGGTTGCTCTGTTGTAGATCTTGCATCTCCTCCTGAATGAAGGGCAGGTGCATCAGGTCGGCTGGATCTGAGCCGTCCGTGGGCATGACATCTTCCCAAACCTCCTGTGGAACGGGAGGCATGCTCTTGTTCTCTTTCGGCTTGGGGCTCTGGTTGCTGGTTTTGGTCTTCACCTGGACATCCTTCAGGCGCAGACGGACGTACTGCACAAACATCATGTGCTCTGGTTTGTCGCTCATCTCGAACCTGTTCAAAATGAACTCGGTCCATTGTGCGTCCTCGAACGCCTGAGCATAGGTCATACCCTTCTTTGACTCTCCGAAGGTGATCTTCTCGCTGGCTAACTCTTCCAGAGTCATGGCACTCACGACCTCTCGAGAGATCTGCTTCTTCTGCGACTTGTTGTACTCCTTGAGCTGCAAAGCCAGGGACGTCATGTTCCCCCGGTGTTGAGTCACGTTCTGCGTTGATCTTTGGACCACACACTGCTGAGTCAATCGGACATGATGGTGACGGGCTCACCGGCAAGTGGGTTCTCAAAACTGTTTCATGGCAACTGACTGAACTTTCAAGCGGAGATGATTGGTCTGTCAAGTTGAGCTCACTACCCCTAAGGCTTCCCTGCGGCTGTTTGACTGTCATTTTGGCACCACGGTCAATTTCAGTCTGAGCCATGCAAGAGGCCTCACCTGATTCACCAGAAAAACTATCATCCCAAAGTTGATTCAAATTCATTAAGAACAGATTCTTTGGAGATCTTTCAAGAGTGAGAAACTTTCGTAAGGCCTTACTCCACATGGTTCCCTCTTCAGTGTCAATCACAGCTTGAATCTGTTTCAAAAACGCACTTGACAGTAAAAAAGGTGTTGGACCTGGAACAACTGCAATTCGGAAACATCCCTTTTGGATCGGGAGCACAAGTGCATGTTGGCTCGTCAGCGTCTGATGATTACCAAATCGAAACACTAAGTGGCATGGTGCACGGTGTGCTTGCTTTCGGATCTGTTCGGGAAGACCCTGCAAAAGTTCTGTCACCTGATGGCTTCCAATCACTGTCTGTGAAGCACCTAAATCAACAATGCCATGGGTACCTGATGACGCAAAGTGTATGTCATGTGAAATCACACTGGATGCCGGGTGATCTTTCGGATCATGCATGTGAGACGTCGAGGGACACTTTCCATCATGGGACTTTGGCTGCGCAGCATCACGGTGGTTGGCACGAATGCTCAGTTCATTCCTGAGGGCCATTCGGATGCGTGACATAACATGTGATTTAAATTCCCATTTCTTACCCTTATCATTATTCCAATTATTCCCAAGTTTATTTCCCGTGATTACCCCAAAACATGCGGCTGCACAAT